GAAATACTTGCACGAAGCGAAATACCTGCACGAACCACGTGGCATTATTTTTATAAGAAAAAAATTGAAAAAGAGACAAAATAATTTGTAAAAAGATTAAAATTCTTGGTTTGAAAATTCAAAAACGAATAGTATTGTAATTGACCAATAAAAAAGCAAATTTTAGTGTCGAACCATCTTTTTGAAAATTCAAAGTCATATTTTTTTCAAAGAAAAGTTCAAACAAATAATGCATCAAACTGTTTTTTGACCAAACATCATTTTAAAATGAAAGATTTTTTTGTTTTTTTATGAATAAATGATAAAATTCGAAAGATGTGTATTTTTCGAAGACACATCTTTTTATTTTTTGAAAAATGTGGTTATCATAACTTCGGACTGTGTGGTCGAGCAGTGGTGAAATTTAAAGACATATTCTACATCAATTTTATAAGCAAATTCAATATTTAAACATTTGTATTTAAGCCTCTAAATGCACAAATAAATCAAGATGTGTCATTTCAAAAGACACATCTTTTTTTATTTTTTTTTCTATTTTCCTTCTTTAATTTTAAACTTTGACGTTTTTGGCTAAAAAACAAGATTTTTATAAATGAATTAAACATATCAAATCTCCAATAAATCAGTTGAAGTTCGGGCTGTTATTTTGACTGGAAACAGCGGAAAGAAACGGAAGACGTGTTGCTGCTTGACGTTGCGCCATTGACACTTGGGATTAAAACAGTTGGTGGTGTGATGACGACACTTATCCCACGAAACTCGAATTACAGCAAAGAAGTTACAAATATTCTCGACATATGCAGACAACCAACCAGGCGTGCTCATCCAAGTCTTTGAGGGCGAGGCATCCATGACATCACACTGCAACCTGCTTGGCAAGTTTGAGTTGTCTGGCATTCCACCCGCACCACGTGATGTCCCACAAGTAGAAGTCATATTTGACACAAATGCAAATGGGATATTGAATGTCTCAGCTGAGGACAAGACAACAGGAAAGAAGAACAAGATCACAATCACAAACGAAGAGGGAGACTCTCAAAGGAGCAGATCGACAAGACAGTTGAAGACGCAGAGAAGCTCAAGGCGGAGGACGACAAGATGAAGGAGCTTGTCGAGGCGAAAAATGGACTTGAGAACTTCTGCTACTCGATGAAAAACACACTCAACGAGCAAGTTGAAGCAAATCTCACCAGACGACAAGGCAGCAATTATCAAGGAGACACTCGACTGGCTCGACAAGAACCAATTGGCATCAAAGGATGAATACACACAGAAACAAAAGAAAGCTGAGGCTAAGGTGTAGCCAATCTTCATACAGATATCGACAGAATAAAACTGGAACATCAAGGAGTTTACAACAAAAAACCAACGAATAACAAAGGTTTTATTAAAAAATGTGTTTTACTTCTGTGTTTTTTACAGTTTTCTACAAAATAATTGAACAGAACATTAATTATACTGTTTAATACATTTATGGTTTTTGATAAATTATATTAAATAAACCCCATAATAGTCACATTTGATAATTATTCATTTTAAAAATTAAATATAATCACAAAGAGTAATTGAAGTGTTCTTATGGTGGGTTTGGTTTAACTTGTTTTCAAAATAATAGTAAATATAATAATTTGTTAATTTAAATAAATATTATTAAAATGTGATAATTTGTAATAGTAAATATACTAATGATAATTAATATAATTATACTATAAAAATACAGCCTGTAAAAGTAAAATAATTAACTGTTGTTAATAATTAACGTTACTATTAAATTTATTATAATATATTATTATTTATCTATAGCTTTTTTGTTAATTATTAACTATTGTTTTCTTTTATTATGTTAGTATAACATTAGTTTTAATATAATTTCCCAAAACAATTACTGTGAAAAGAAACACAAATAAAAACCATAATAAATAATTAATTTTAATTATGATAATAGATCAGTTTCTTTATTAGCGAACATTTTAATAAAATATAATTTTGTATTCTTATTTACTATAATAATATTAAATTGTTATTAAATTTTTGGTTGTAAGAAGTTCAATTCTGGTTATTTTTGTTTTATTAGTGTCAATATTAATGATCTTAAAATCAAAAATCAATCTGTAAAACCAAAAATCGTTTTCTAATTCATTCTTTTTGACCATTGAAAATTCAATTTTTTTCATTACTTTTCCAAAATTTTTTCTTTTAAAAAATTTGTTTATTTTCTTTTTTGACCATTTTATGGAAAAAAACGTATTGCCACATTTGCTCGTGCAGGTATTTCGCTTCGTGCAAGTGTTTCGCAGGTCTTTAGTAAAATTTTTCATAAAATTATTTAATTTATCATTTTGTCTTAATATTTAATTATTAAAAATTAATATATTATAACAAAAAATTGTTATACAGTCGAATTAGGTCTACTTGTGATAGTATTTTTTATGAAAGTGATATGATTTTTATAAAATGTACAACATTTTTGATAAAAATGATGAATTAATTGAGAAGTGATAGTAATTTGTTTGAAAAATTATGAATATTTTTTATGAAAGTGATAAATAATCGTAAAAATGATGATTTATGGTAAAAAATGATGGGAAATTATATCAAAAGTGATGGATTTTTCTCAGAAATGATGCAATCTATAAGAAAGTGACCAATAATATTTTGAAAGAGTTTATTATTTTAAAACTTGTGACAGATTATTTAAAAAATAAATAAACATCATTAATTACGGAAACTTCCCGTTATTTTAAACAAAAAATAAAATAAACACAATCATTCATAAAAAATTCTTTCATTAACATAAGACCACACTACATTTATACAATTTTCCATTAAGGCTATTACATCAGTAAGTTAAATATTCACAAAACCATTTCAAAAGCAAATTTTACCCAGACCATACACCGATTTGAAATTTGCTACCAATTTCTGAATTATTTACAAGTTATTTTAAGTGTTAACCTTAATACCAACTTTGGTACTTTAGAATTCCAGTTCAACAGTATCTCTATATATTCTAAATAATTTAATTAATTCAAACTTATCAGAAAGCAATACTCTATTGTATGATCTTTTGACTTGTGTATTATTTGTTACATTCTTTTTTGGTCGTCCTCTTTTTCTTCTTTCAGATTGTGGTGGTATAAAAGGAATAATACGCCGTGATTCCACAACTTCAACTTGTAGAAGTTGTGGAGAGTTTTCTATATAATCGCTTCGAGCAATTAGATCTCTTGCATCAAGATATGTGAGTGAATGAGACATTTGATTACTGTTCAAATTAAAGTTGTTTTTATAGTACAAATAACTCAAAGAAAAATCAATGTAAACACATCTTTTGTAATATTTTATGTTTATTTGTGTTAATTTTATTTTTTGTTTAAAATAACGGGAAGTTTCCGTAATTAATGATGTTTATTTATTTTTTAAATAATCTGTCACAAGTTTTAAAATAATAAACTCTTTCAAAATATTATTGGTCACTTTCTTATAGATTGCATCATTTCTGAGAAAAATCCATCACTTTTGATATAATTTCCCATCATTTTTTACCATAAATCATCATTTTTACGATTATTTATCACTTTCATAAAAAATATTCATAATTTTTCAAACAAATTACTATCACTTCTCAATTAATTCATCATTTTTATCAAAAATGTTGTACATTTTATAAAAATCATATCACTTTCATAAAAAATACTATCACAAGTAGACCTAATTCGACTGTAATATATTTATTAATATTTTTTAAATTACTTAATACCCCATAATTGTTGATTTTGATTGTAATGTTATTCAAAAGATAAAGAAAAACAGATGATGTAATTGATTGTTCTTATGGTGGGTTTGGTTTGACATTTATGTATATTTTAATTTAATATAATAATAATTTGTGAATTTTAATAAAATAAAAAAAATTCAATATAAAATAATATAATTGTTAATATTCAAGTTATAAAATACTTATCAATTATTAAAAATGTTAATAAATTAATACACATCAAAAAAATAAAATGAATGAAACATAAAATATCGTAATGAGTAAATTCAATTGTGTATTATTGTTTTAATTTTAAATTTTATAATTTGTATAATAAATTTTTTATGAAATTAAATTATAATTAATGATTTTATAATGGTTAATATATAATTTGAATTTTATAAATATTAAGTTTGTTTAATTTCACTCTTTTGTATGGTTGTATTTAATTTAAAAATGGTTTTTAAAGTTAATATTTATGTTATTTTTAAGAATGTTTTAATATTATTAGTTATACATATTTTTATCATTTTTATACACAAATTTCATTATTGAAGTTAATATTTTAATATTTTTTATATTTATATTTTAAATAATTGCCAGTAATTATAATATTTTATACCATATTATTAAATTTTTTTATTAAATTTTAAAAAATAATTTAGTATAATTATATTATAATTATATTATATTAATTTTAATATATTAGTTTTAAATATTATTGAATGGTCATTATAACAAATAGTTGTTATATTTAACTATCGAAATTTAGTTTAAATTTTCATGTTTTTC